ATGGGGACCTAGACAACGCTATCAGTGGTATGGTGACCTCGACACCACTATCAGTGGTATGGTGACCTAGACAACACTATCAGTGGTATGGCTACCTAGACAACACTATCAGTGGTATGATGACCAAGACAACAATATCAGTGGTATGGACACCTAGACAACACTATCAGTGGTATGGTGACCAAGACAACACTATCAGTGGTACAGTGTTAAATGATTTTTTTCTTTCTTATTTAATACATTCATTGATCAAATAAAAGTGATTTTACCGATAAACAAAACAAAACAAAAATGTTTCGATATTTCATTTTCTCATGAAGATGTAAATGTTACCATATTTTAGATATGAAACACAATGTATATACATCTAGTACAGGAAGTTCAAACCACTTACATACACACTGCAGTGTATCTATTTGAAGCTTGAGGGTCTATTTATGACAGAGCATGCATCTTATATAGCCAATAAGGCTAATGTTTCAACCGAACTTCCACGGAAAAACAATGCAGAATTGACAATATGTTCATATATATTGCTGATAATTTGGCATCCATTCAACAATGCGGAAATAAACCGTGAAAATGTACAGCTACACAATCCTAAATACAGCACACAAAACAACAACACCCAAAAACTAGTGAGAAGATAAATTGTGGAAGCTGGTGAAACAGCAGACAGAAAATCCCGGTGGAGGAATTCATTGATTATTATTGTACTGAGGTGGTGCCCCACGTCATTGTCAGAGCCACTACTAAATAGAAGCTCAAGTGTGGCTGAACACTCCTTGTAAAACAAATCTAAAAGTACATGGAGCTATATATATCCATAACAACTAAGTTACGTTCTACTCCTGATCGGCTTTAGCTGTATACATCGTAATGTTCAAGTTTTAAAGTAACAAGCCATTCAGATTGATATGTCTCGCCTATGCCCCGCTTTGACCATCAATGCACATATCAGAGAAACCAATTTAAACGCATAAACTTAATGTTGATGAAGATGCTGACGAAGTCAATGGACCATGAAAGGTAGGCCGCATCCAACATTTGATGCATGGGTGAGATGTACTACCTAAGATGCATCTATGGTCTAAGTTTTGGTTGGTATAACACTTCTACTTTCATTAAAACTAACCTAAACACAAAAACTTAATGTTCACGCTGCAGTCACCGGAAAACCGACACCTTAGTTTTGCTTCCACTTCGTGGCGGTGAGACAAAAATTCAACATAGTGGTGACCCATATGAATTTAGGTCTATCGAACTTAAGGTAGAGTGTCTCAGTGCTCTGTGTTTATCTCCAACAAAGAAGAGTTCCAATTTGTTCATCATTTTTCTGAATTAAAAGTTACCTGCCCATCAACTATGATGAAAAGTTATATACAAAAGATAATTTTTATGGTAGTATTCTTTTTTTTTTTATTCAAAAACCACCTCTGCCACAAGAGTTCAATCTCTGGACCTCTAGAATATAAAGAAGAAAGCTTATTCACTGTGCTATCGCTTATGATATCTATATGTGCTAAAAACAAAATAGCAACATTACCAGAAAATTTCTTCAATGTTCAACTCCCTAAAACCCTGTAACCCTTTCCTTCCCCTGCCAGGACACCAGTCTTCCAAAGATTTACTTGCTGGTGCCCATTTGTACAGCTGGGTTACGAGGATACTGTGAGTCCTAATTCAAGAAAGTGTTTAATTAAGGTGCACAACAAAACTGATTATAACACCAAAACATGCAAAACTACAGAAACTGTAAAATTTACCTCACAAACTGAAGAAATCAATGCTGTAAATGATTTTGAAATACATCACTTATTCAATTTAGCTTCCCTGGTGAATCTATTTTTCACAGTACTAAAACCCCTTTATTGCTTTTGAGGATTATTTTTGTACAAAGATGGCAGAACATATCCGATTAGCTAAAATGACAGTATTCTCTTGGTATTTGATTTGACAAGTTATATATATAGATTAGATCTGTTCCAACAGAGTAGATAAGTGAAATATAGAATTTCTCAATAGAGAGGTAAAAAGTTTTGGATATGATTTGAAAGCTAATCTTATAAGTATCAGCCACAGCCGTGACGGATCTGGACTAAATTTCGTTATGAATACAGCGACCTTGTAAGATTCTTCCCAAATCCATAATCTCAATGGTATAATACCAAAAACTTTGACAAAGAAGTGGACTACTTATGCAGAAACTTAAACAATTTAGGATCCCTGTCCTGCTGCACTGTGGTTTTTCCTATGTACAGTAAACCTCCCCTTAACTTCCATTTGGATATTACTATAGGACAGTTAGGCCAGGACACTTCTGTTGACCAGGTAGCTTAATCTGTTAGAGCGATAGTACAATCTGGTGTCCAGTGTTCGAATCCCGGTCTAGCTCCGCTGAATTTTTACACTCAGAGAACTGCTGTTGATTTTATTTTGCTTATTCCATCTTTATTATTTCTCATAAAAGTCTCGCTAGGAATAATTTTCTTTTCAGAATGATTCATCAAAGCTATAGCAATGCCTGAAAAGTACAGTTTCCACTATTTAGTTACAGCTTTTGGCAGTGGTACGAGGATCCTTAAGTAAGACCATAGGTTGAAAGCTACCGTGACCGAGACTGCACCCATACCTAGACTTGTTACTGTAAATATCTTGGATATCCATTTCTCCCACAACCACGTAGGCTTCCTCACTCCTGACTTATTGGATAAATCTGCAAGGAGTTAATGTCACCATGCTTTTCGACGTCATCTTCCATCGTGACGTCATGGTTCATGGCAATTGTTCCCGGATCGCAAATAGGAATAATGTATTCGCAAGAAAATAATTTGGTTTTCTAGATGTAACTTCTGAACGTTGTAAGAGAAAAGGGTCCCCAAACTCATGACGGTTGATTATCATATTTATTTAACTCTCGTGAGTTAATTTGAATAAAAACAATTTGAAAATTAACTACTTTATATACCCTTCTGATTCTCTGATATCTGCATTAATAGGATTCTTGGATTACTACATCCTGTATTTATATTGCTTTTTTCTATATATATAAAATATATATTTTAAAACAATTGCAAAACACTCTTGCCGGCCATGATTGAGGTATGCAGGTTTTCTTTACTAGGATTAAGGAATGAAAACAGGAGTAACCAAAGAAAACCCACCTGGCAGGGCAGGTAACCAAATACCTTTTCTTATCTGATTGAGCATTGAGAAAGCAAATCCCAGCTTTCTAAGTGAAATGGGGGTGTAAACTGGTAACACTGCACTTGTTGCTAAAGTAAACATCTGTTATGTTAAGTCAGAGGTTAGAGTACCAAAGGAGCCAGGATGTTGTTGAGTCCTAGAGCTAGATACTTCACCCTTATTGCACAGTTCCACCAGGTATGAGTGGAATAAAAGAATGAGTCATTGGAAACATGGACACCTAACAAGCAGGACACCTATACAATCTCTGAGATACACACCCTCATCTATGGAGGTACTCATGGGTATCTCACAGAAACATACAAATAAATAAGGCTGTTTCCACACTCTCCTGATGGAGTTGAATATATGTGTCTGATCTCTTGACTGATAATCACCCTAGAGTAATTTCCTGGAGATTAGATAGGATGTTATACTAATGTTGTATGACAATTATAATTGTTACTGCCCTCGTCTGACAGATGGCTATAGATATTAAATACTGCCAGACTCAAATTACGAGTCAGGTATTTACTACCTAGCTCTGACCTCTGGTCACTTGTTTAACACCAGGCTCATGTCACTGGTCAGATAATAACTGTGTGAACGTCCTTGCCTACTGAAGTAAGTAAATTGATCGTTGGTGTTGCAGACAGTAAGCTAATTATAGTGACCATTTATGTAACCATGGCATTAAATACAGGATTTCCTGTATTCTAATTAAATACAGGATTTCCTGTACTCTAATTAAATAACATTGATGTAATGAGTTGCTGAGGTCGTATCCAGGCTTAAACCATTTCAGTGACCATCAACTTCCTGTCTAGAGATTTCACAGTAACACAGAGGAACAGTATTTACCATAATAGTTCACATTCAGATACAAGACAACTTCTTTAATTCAATTGTCAGAAAATTAGTACTTCATTGTGGTATTAAAAGAAGTATTTTTGTGAGAATGTCTTGTAGTTTTTATCTTCTCAAAACAAAGCACCATTCTTACAATTTAAAACAGAATCACCTTTTTATCTTGTTAATCATTTCTGTGAAAATATGATTCAGTAATTTTTCTGTCACTCATGTCAAAATTAAAATTTTGATATTGCTCACATGAAAATTTATCCTGTAAATTGTTTCAAAATAAATAGCTAGTTCCATTAACTTCTCAGTGGGATTAAAGTTGACAGGACGCACACAATATAACCATAGGAACATCACGTTAGGTTAATTGTTGGAGTTCCCTAGGTTACCAGAGGCATGTTCGTTTATGCGGAATAACCGGTTTGTCTGTTTTTAAATCCAACAATTTCAGGAATAAAACATGATGGACCTGCAAATGTTTATGCAGGCCTTGCAAGGCTTTATCAAGGCTTGCCTGTAAGCAGCATCAGATTACTAGGTCCGACCTTATTTAATAAACGAACAACTGTGGTCCGATCGGTTCAACCGTTTAAACGAAAACAGGCCCAGGTGTGTGTAATGACCAATTGTTTGAATCAGAAGAAAGATTTGACTCCTCTCACTTCAGTTTGACTTCAATGTGACTCTGTTTTATGAAAATCTTTGGAATTACTTTATACTGGGAGTTTTTCCGCTGCAGCCTATTTTTTCGCCTTTTTTCGCACACTGTAATGAGGGCAAATTCACCATGAGAGTGGATATACGTTGACAGCATACCATTTATAGTTCTTACTTGTGAAAGGCGAAATTAACACTGGGTGAACATGGATTTTACCGGTGAAGGGCGAAAACTTGACTTGGTGAAGGTTTCCCGGTATACAGTAATTAAAAGGGAAAACAATTTGGGAACTTACATTTTAATATCCTGACCTGCAGCAGACGCGGGAGTTACATTCAAGGTTCTGACATCCGCTGGCCTCGGCTGCGTAAGGACCATCAATGACATTGTCACAATAGTACAGCTCCTCTCGGTCCAGGGCGGGGCATACGGAGACCAGCTCCGTAAGACCATCGGCCGTGATGTTGAGACAGCCGGATAGGTCAAGGTACCTCAAACAGGGAAGCCCCCCATCCTCTGCCAGGTACCTAGGGGCAGAAACAGTCAAATTATACAACCGTTCACTAAGTTAAATACATAAAGAAATATGAAGAATAGTAATCTGTACAAAAGCTTCCGTTAAATTTCACAGGTCATGTCATTTTCATAACAGAAATTTCTTTACCAGACTGAAATTACATACTTACCTTAATGAATCTGTATTGAAAGCTCTGTTTCCAACAAAGTCAAGAGAATGAAACTAAAACTTACCCCCAAAAAACAAAATTAACTTTTATTACTTAAAATAACGCATGTATATCTATCTCAGATCTAAATTATAATCATGAAATAGAACAGTTCACAGAAATTTTATTAGTTTGGTTTACATTGAATGAAATCTACTGTGAAATATTTGATAAATGTATTTAACCAAAGTTAAAGGTAATACATTCAAATAAACCTAATAATAGACATTTTCTGCTGTATCTTTCTGTATGTTATGTATATAGAGAGAGGGGTGTTTTAATAATACTTGTTTTACTAAAAAGATACGGTAAACCTTCGGTCAGTTCGAACAAAATCAAATAAATATTGATGAACCTGTTCGGATTATACGAAATTATGCTTCAGAAAATAAGCGTGAGTTCGAACTATCGGCAAAAATTTCGGCAAAGTGCAAATCAAGTCACAAACATATACCTGATATATATATCCAATGTAAGGTCGATACGAAACAACGACGGCCTGGCATAGAACAATGGCACATTTATAAATGGGTAAAATGATAGTATATTATTTAAGTCGATGTTAATTGATCATTAAACTTTCTTCATTTCCAGATAATTATGATCGTTATTGCGAAGCAGAGGCCATTGTGTAGGCCCCAAAACAGTACATGTTTCATTTGTGACACAAAAGTTAGACTACCTAGTTTGTATCAGATACCTAAATATGGAGTCACTGGGTGGTTAGGTTTTATTTGAATCAGAAACTATTTTATATATTATTTCGTAATGAATGGTCCGTTTAATAAATTGAAAACATAGTCTACATAACCTGTTGCGTTTACAAAGCGCAACTGTAAATATAGGTCTATATGTTAGTAAAATTAGGTAAGAACATCAACTTGTCTGCTTTTGAATTATAAGTGATATAGTCCTTATACCTACCAAACTTATTTGACACCTTCAAAATTACCCATCGCTAATTGGGACACCTGTGGATTTTTGGAATTGGACATGAATGCTAATCACGTCACTCACAATGGCTGGGCTGCCGATCCCTACCGCGACATCTCACGTGTCCTGCCCTACCTGGTGTGAGCTTGGCAATAATTAAGGGATGTCTGGTCGCAATTAAATAATCAAAATGCTTATTTAACACTGTATTTGACAATACACGGGCGATTTCTTAGTTTGCCATACAGCGTGACATCAGTTCGTACTGATCGCATGTTATTTATACATTGTCGGGGCCTAAGTTGCAATTGGCTGTCTCATGCACGATGTATTTTTCAAACAATGTAAAAAATGAATCAACGCTAAAACCTGTGACATATATTTATGGTTTGTTTGTCACAACTGTAATGCAATGCTCACACATACATCCCATTACACTAAACGTGTCTGTTGATCAAAGTATTGGCATTTTTCCGGGGCCGATCACCGCGAGCTTTCAATGGAGTTTGCTGAAAAAAAATCTTACTTTACGTTCTTCATTTGACAAGTTCGGACTATCCGAAATAGGGTCAATCAGAGTTTGAACTATCACTAGCTAGAAAATTATTGTTTTTATTGAAAAAAATATGTGTTCGAACTATCAGCTGATTCGAACTGACCGGAGGTTTACCGTATAAGATGGGATGGGGTGGGGGGGGGGGGGGGTCTCAATACATGTCCCATTGTATAGACAATAGAAACAGTCTGGCAATACCTTATTTTTTCTGTATAGAAAAGGGTAGTAAAAAAATACTGGTTTATTGTATATATAAGGGTGGACTATACAGAGGTCTTGCAATATTGGTGTTAATGTATAGTCATGGAATGAGCGTGTGATATTACAATACAAGTCTCACTATAGAAGATTTGGGGGGTCTCACAATACAAGTTTCATTGTATAGAAGATTCAGTGGTCTCACAATACACGTTTCACTGTATGGACAAGGAATGGTCTCACAATACACATCTCACTGTATGGACAAGAGGTGGTCTCACAATACACGTTTCACTGTATGGACAAGGAGTGGCCTAACAACTCAGGTTTCACTGTATGGACAACGGGTGGTCTCACAATACAAGTTTCACTGTATGGACAAGGGGTGGTATCACAATTCACGTTTCACTGTATGGACAAGAGGTGGTCTCACAATGCACGTTTCACTGTATGGACAAGGAGTGGCCGAACAACTCAGGTTTCACTGTATGGTCAAGTGGTAGTCTCACAATACACATTTCACTGTATGGACAACGGGTGGTCTCACATTACACATTTTACTGTAAGGACAAGTGGTGGTCTCACAATACATTTTTTCCTGTATTAACAAAGAGTGGTCTCACGATACAGACGTTTCACTGTAAGGACATAGGATGGTCTCACGATACAGGTTCAACTGTATTGACAAGGGGTGGTCTCACAATACACATTTCACTGTATGGACAAGGAGTGGTCTCACAACTCAGGTTTCACTTATTGACAAGGGGTGGTCTTACATTTCAGGTTTTACTGTATGGACAATTGGTGGTCTCACAATACACATTTCACTGTATGGACAAGGAGTGGCCTAACAACTAAGGTTTCACTGTATGGACAAGGGGTGGTCTCACAATACAAGTTTTACTGTATTGACAAGGGGTGGTCTTACAATACAAGTTTCACTGTATTGACAAGGGGTGGTCTTCCAATACAATTTTCACTGTATTGACAAGGGGTGGTCTCACAATACAAGTTTCACTGTATTGACAAGGGGTGGTCTTACAATACAAGTTTCACTGTATTGACAAGGGGTGGTCTCACAATACACATTTCACTGTATGGACAAGGGGCGGTCTCACGATACAGGTTTCACTGTATGGACAAAGGGTGGTCTCACAATACAAGTTTCACTGTATTGACAAGGGGTGGTCTCACAATACAAGTTTCACTGTATTGACAAGGGGCGGTCTCACAATACAATTTTTCCTGAATTGACAACGGGTGGTCTCACGATATAGGTTTCACTGCATGGACAAGGGGTGGTCTCACAATACAAGTTTCACTGTATTGACAAGGGGTGGTCTTACAATACAAATTTCACTGTATTGACAAGGGGTGGTCTCACAATACACATTTCACTGTATGGACAAGGGGCGGTCTCACGATACAGGTTTCACTGTATGGACAACGGGTGGTATCACAATACAAGTTTCACTGTATTGACAAGGGGCGGTCTCACAATACAATTTTTCCTGAATTGACAAGGGGTGGTCTCACGATATAGGTTTCACTGCATGGACAAGGGGTGGTCTCACAATACACGTTTCAATGTATCGACAAGGAGTGGTCTCACAATATACATGTCATTGTATGGACAAGGGATGGTCTCACGATACAGGTTTCACTGTATGGACAAGAGGTGGTCTCACAATACAAGTTTCACTGTATGTATAAGGGGTGGTCTCACAACTCATGTTTCACTATATGGACAATGGGTGGTCCCACAGTACACATTTCACTATATGGACAATGGGTGGTCTCACAATACAAGTTTCACTGTATGTACAATGGGTGGTCTCACAACTCATGTTTCACTATATGGACAAGGGGTGGCCTAACAATATAGGTTTCACTGTATGGACAATACATCTAGTGAATATGAGCTTATAATTACAAAGCATTAACTCTCCAACTAGTGTGACAAGTGTATCGTGTATCATGCTCCCCATTTCAATGTTCTACAACTCATTACACCATTCCCACTAGTCTTCAAACTGATGAGGACAAACAAATTAAATAAATATTGTAATAAATAAACTAAACCGCCTCGTTAGCATGGAAATAACAAAATATAAATAAAAATGTTAAATTACAAATTTCATTACTGGTATAATTGCTCCAGAGAAAATTGATAATGATTATATACGTAGTGATTCTGACAGGTAAATTTACTGATGTATTCATCAATTTGAATAGAATACCATTTCAGTTTAGTCAATACTCAGACAAGGTGTCATAAGATAAGAAATCAATGTCTTTACCTGGGGAATACATTCAATATCAATTACTTCAGGTGTGTACATACAATATCCCACTAGCTTGCATTGACTAGTATATCTTGTGACATGGCTTTTAAAAAAAGTAATACTATGGAAATACAGGTAAATCTAGTAGGTGTTTTCTTTAAAATCTTTAAAGTGGGATGGACATTAAAAATGAAAATTGCATGGTTGTGCCATTAAACATAAGAACTAAGCTCCAGATGGATCTGGCCACAAAGAAACAGTTACCTGTAGATTTTTATTTTTTTTAATTTGATACTATGAAAGCTAGAAACTTCCTAACGACTGATACCACAGAAATAAATGTTCATTTTTCCTTTCCACATGCCAAGATAACATCAGGCATTGGATGTTGAACTGATAAAATTAAAATTTTACATGTGCACTTCTGATACCATTGTCAGTGAAATGTGCTATTTTAATAAGTTTCTGATTTATTAGGGCCATTTTAATAACTGATTTTGCAATGTCGATACCTTTTTGAATGTATTTCAAAATTTGGCTTTTAAAGAACTGTATCAAATTATCATATATTTAAATAATACTTTTTTCAAAATGTGCAACAACATCCAATTAACATGATTAAGTCTAGTGCATCGTCAATGGCACTCTGCCTTTGTTAACAAAAAAAATCCATTAATAATGCACATTTTAATAGGATATTACCGGTAGTATCTGCTGTTTGTATGTATATAGTATACATTATGTATATACAATTGTAAGCTAGTCATTCGTGCAACTTACTTCAGTGGTGGAAAGAATTTTATCATCAGGACTTCTTTTCAAACAATATCATATACAAAAAAACGCAAATGATTAAGAGCAAGCAGAAACTGAAAAAAGCATAAACTCTCTACAGATATCATATGTCTTAATGCAAATTTCACTTGATGTTCAGGAATGTTTTTAAGGTTCATGAACAGTCTTACAGTTATACTTTCACAAAAGAAGTGTCATAAATTGATATTGCATGAAAAGTAGATTATATACATATAATGTAGAGTAATTATTCATTCAGTATTTATGCTGAATCTGTTTTAGTGTTCATCTAGGTAGGGAAAAGAAAGGAAGGACACGTACACCAACCTACTTAAGACTGTATATATAGAATAGCCCACCGAGATCGGTGATACCCGGTATTAATGGAAAAATTACAGGATGTGGTAAATTAATTACAGAAAGACAAATATGTACAAAATACACAGTGCAAACTACAGCATACATGTATATATATATATATACTGTATTTGACTTAACGAGGCACTCAATCTAAAATATAAGTCAAATTCTAACTGGAAAATTTCAGATTTGATAATTTCCTTATAAGTTGCCCAGTTGGTTTTGATAGTTAGAAACCTTCTGGCAACAAAATGACCCTGTAAACTGTTACTGAATGAAAACAAAGCTGACAGGGAACATTGTGCTGATAAATTGCCGAACGTAATCTTCCGGTATGATACCACTATATTCATTAGTAATTGCAAGAGTGATCATGATCAAGACACCTTTATGTCTGTGCAGTTGGAAAATAGTCAAACTACAAGTCATGTTGTTTGAGGGAAAATGTATGCAAATACATACACCCCACATAACTCAATCATCAATTACCTGTGTACTGTGCCCCATGACATCAAATACAGTGTATAATATTATACCTTGTTCTGTTTAACACCAAGACACCATTCATGCCAAAGAAACCTTAACTAAATGTCTAGGTACAAATATTGAGCATGCATCAATAAACCAGGAGCTGATCATGAGGAGCTACATTTATTACATTTTTGTTAGTGAAATATCGGATTCTATCAACTTGTTAAAACTGATATCTTAATTCACACTGTGACTTTTTAGTATTGACCAATCATAACGGTATCTTTTATTAGCTGCATTTAAAGGCAAAGGATTTTTGTTCAGGTTCAAATGAAGCAACGGTTGAATAAGTGGTTGTTATGGTAAATGTTTAGTACACACACTTGTTATGGTAAAGGTTTGGTACACACTCCTAAGTATTTACATTATATACCAGTAATGACATTTTTATAAGCAATCATACCAGAAAATAGCAGAAAACGTCGAAATTGCATTGAGAATCCCAGTCAAAATGGCGCGCAGCCTGTGGCTAATATTTTGATATTTTTCACGAGTGCGCAATATTAGCCACACGAGTGAAATATATTTGTTATTACTGAAGACACCATTAAATATCCTCTATATATTATATTGTGTAAAATGGAAGCTGATGTTCACAAGAATTCCACAGGTGTGGATGTGCCGCCTGCTCAGCGCTTTTAGTAAGAAAAGTGTTATAGCTTGAGTTATTGCGTAAACAGATATGCCAAAACGCGGAAAATTGAAGCTCGGCTGTAATATATGTTGAACATTATTGCTTCTAGCATTACCGTACAAAATTAGAAAGGAATTGATTAAAATATAAAAAAGTTCTTGAATTTACTACACAATGCCCTTATTTGGCAATAAAAGGGGCATAACTCCACCAAAATGCATGTTAACTTCTGAAATGTGAACTTGTCTGAGCTATATTGGTATGCAATATGTGTACCAAGATTGAGTTCAATCAACCCAAGGTAACTAAGTTATCGCAAGCAAACCTTGTTTCGGACAACGCAACCGACGCTGCCGACAAAGTAATACCTATATATATGTCGTCTCGCGTTGCAGGTGACACAATATTGATACTTCTGGTTCTGATGAAAAGTTCAGAATAACTAGTTTTGATAGATATATACATAAGCATTGAGGAATGGTTATCCAAGCAAAACTGCACACTACATTATGCACTGTGGCTTGCATACAATTATAAAAAAAAAACGCAAAATGCAACAGGCAAAGAAATCAAAGATCACCTAAAATGATCCTATTGTCATGTTTCTTTACTTTGTATCATTTAAATGAAACGTTTCAATACACGCAGCGATGTACTGCAAATTGATTTTTCTACTCAAAAATTTCGGTATATGTCATTAGACTTTAAAGAAGCATTATGCCATGTACATACAGAGCTACTTTACAAAACTGGAGGCACACATGATGATTGTGGCACACTTAAATTCACAACTTTGTTGTTACAATGTAACTCATGTGCTGGGTTTTTTCTTTTTATTTCTTCATGTTGAACTTCAAACATATACTATTTTTTATTTTCATTGATCATAAATATCTCCCTATACTGACATATACTTATCCTCACCTTAGCCCTGTGTCTGTGATGTGGTAACAGCCAGACAGGCTCAGGTACTCAAGGTCATGAGAGCTGGGGTCAGAGTTCATCAATTTACCATTCAGGTCAAGGTCATTATCACAGATTTTCACATCGTCACCCCTTTCCCCTGTGATCACGATATTAGTGTTTTGGTGACCAAGGTAACCAGTTTGTAGTTGACTAGGTTTTGGGTCAACAAGTGAACCAGGGGATTTGGGATCAGGGGAAACACATGTAGTCCTTTTTGGTTTTTTAGATTCATGAAACTTCAAAGTAGTCTGATGTGAATGTGAACACATAACATCTGCTTCATGTAAATGTTTAGCAGACGTGCTGCAATGACCACACTTTTCCAAACATGAAGTTGAATTTGATTCCTGTGAACATGTTTCCATTGTCTGATTGGTGGCTGAACAGTCTTCACACACCACCAAATTAGCAGAATCATTTTGGGAAACGGCATTTATCAAATCTGTATCTTCAAGACCTGCAATGATTTCATTGTTCAAACACTGTACTTCACACACTTCTTTTGTGTTAATATCTTTTTCATTGTGATCGAGATCTTTACTGCCTTCTTCCAACATCTTTGGTTCATTCATCTTGCCAGAATTTTTTTTCATCATGTTCTCCAGGTAGTCACAAGCGTCTTCAAGAGCCTGACTGACATTGACGGTACTCAAGCTTCGAAGTAACACAGATTCTTCTAAATCTGTGAGAATGGGTTCATTTGGCACAGTTTCGACTTTTGGCGCAGGATGTGAGAAGTTGCTGTCACTGTTGTCCTCGTGGATCTTAGCCATAGGTGCAGAAACCTCCTGCACAACTTCATTTTTACGTTCATGTTGCATAGATACTTGGTCTGCTTTCAATTCCTTTTCTGTCCATTTTTCAATATCTGACTCATTTTTGTCTTTTCCTTGTTTGAGTTTACAGCATTTTCCACATTTTCCAACTTCCTCTCTGTCTTTTTCATTATTTTTATTCTCACGTTTTTCCTTTGTATCTCTGTAATTTTCCCACTTTTCACAAGAGAAATTATTAAAAGAAGATGACAACCTCTTCAATGTCGTGTCGGTGATATTAAAACAGCCTCCCAGATTGAGATATTTCAGCTTCGCTCCACATCCTTTTCGGCCAAGCCTGAAGAAAAGTGTGATTGATTTCAATTAAAAAGGCAATTTATTAAACAATGCATGTATAGCAACATGTATCCCCTATTTGCTATTGGTTTTGATATAAAAAGTATTATCACATTTCTTTTCACGAAACAGGTTTGTAAATGTAATGCTATGACGCTATGACAAATCTAAAATTAAAAAATATTTACCGGTATATAAAAAAAAAAAAACTGAAGAAGTAATATTTAATATCTGCTTACTACTTTGTGAATGTACTCATTCAGGATGCAACTTTTTTTGCAGTGTAAAGGGAGATAACTTCCTTTAAAAATTACCACAAACTGACTATTATTGTTACTTACCCTTTAAAACCAATGTCAGATATCCTTGTTTGAGACAAATCCAGGACCTCCATGTTGGGGCACTGAGAAAGAATCTTGTAAAGCTGGGGGAAAATAACAAGCTCATATGACTTTGTAGTATGAGAAGTAAATTCTGAATTGTTGTTCTGAACAAATAAACACCTGCATGAACAATACAATGTATCAACTCTTTCAGCATACTGATATACAAAGCATCATATAGCTTAGCATTCTAATCATTCATGGGTTCCACGCTAAATAGAACACCAGGTACGACAAAAAGTAAAAACAAACATTCCTCAGTTGAAGAATGTATAAGAAAAGTGTTATAATGGTTTATCTGGTTTACCACCATAAAATTTACCATAGAAAGATTTATCTCTTTGAAAAGACTGACACCTACTCTCAGAACGTTGATAGCAAAAGATCAACAAAGAGTGGATGATTTTGCATAAATGCACCCACATTAGAGTGTCCTTACGGTAAAACCAAGGGGTAGCACCAGACAGACATAAACAAAATTTAAGTGGTGCAGTGAAAACATATATCCTGAGGAAGACTCGCCTTAAAATTCAAAACTAGTCGGCCATACCCACTACTCACACTGGTGACACCTGAGCTGTGTTGTCATTTGAACCCCTCTCTTTATATCAACATATCCGGTATCTTATCACCCTGCAGACCCTTTGGTATCTTATCACCCTGCAGACCTGGTATCTTATCCCCCTGCAGACCCTTTGGTATCTTATCACCCTTCAGACCCTTTGGTATCTTATCACCCTGCATACCCTTTGGTATCTTATCGCCCTGCATACCCTCCGGTATCTTATCACCCTGCAGACCCGGTATCTTATCACCCTACAGACCCTCCGGTATCTTATCACCCTGCAGACCCGGTGTCTTATCACCCTGCAGACCCTCCGGTATCTTATCTCCCTGCAGTCCCGGTATCTTATCACCCTGCAGACCCTCCGGTGTCTTATCACCCTGCAGACCCTCCGGTATCTTATCTCCCTGCAGACCCTCCGGTATCTTATCACCCTGCAGCCCCTTTGGTATCTTATCCCCCTGCAGACCCTCCGGTATCTTATCACCCTGCAGCCCCTTTGGTATCTTATCACCCTGCAGGCCTGGTATTTTATCACCCTGCAGACCCTTTGGTATCTTATCACGCTGCAGACCCTTTGGTATCTTATCACCCTGCAGAACCTTTGGTATCTTATCACCCTGCAGACCCTTTGGGATCTTATCACCCTGCAGACCCTTTGGTATCTTATCACCCTTCAGACCCTTTGGTATCTTATCACCCTGCATACCCTTTGGTATCTTATCGCCCTGCATACCCTCCGGTATCTTATCACCCTGCAGACCCGGAATCTTATCACCCTGCAGACCCTCCGGTATCTTATCTCCCTGCAGACCCTTTGGTATCTTATCACCCTTCAGACCCTTTGGTATCTTATCACCCTGCATACCCTTTGGTATCTTATCGCCCTGCATACCCTCCGGTATCTTATCACCCTGCAGACCCGGTGTCTTATCACCCTGCAGACCCTCCGGTGTCTTATCACCCTGCAGACCCTCCGGTATCTTATCGCCCTGCAGACCCTCCGGTATCTTATCACCCTGCAGCCCCTTTGGTATCTTATCCCCCTGCAGACCCTCCGGTATCTTATCACCCTGCAGCCCCTTTGGTATCTTATCACCCTGCAGGCCTGGTATTTTATCACCCTGCAGACCCTTTGGTATCTTATCACCCTTCAGACCCTTTGGTATCTTATCACCCTGCATACCCTTTGGTATCTTATCGCCCTGCATACCCTCCGGTATCTTATCACCCTGCAGACCCGGTATCTTATCACCCTGCAGTCCCTCCGGTATCTTATCACCCTGCAGACCCTGTATCTTATCACCCTGCAGACCCTCCGGTGTCTTATCACCCTGCAGACCCTCCGGTGTCTTATCACCCTGCAGACCCTCCGGTATCTTATCTCCCTGCAGACCCTCCGGTATCTTATCACCCTGCAGCCCCTTTGGTATCTTATCACCCTGCAGGCCTGGTATTTTATCACCCTGCAGACCCTTTGGTATCTTATCAAGCTGCAGACCCTTTGGTATCTTATCACCCTGCAGACCATCCGGTATCTTATCACTCTGCAGACCCGGTATCTTATCACCCTGCAGACCCTCCGGTATCTTATCTCCCTGCAGACCCTTTGGTATCTTATCACCCTGCAGACCTGGTATCTTCTCACCCCGCAGCCCCTTTGGTATCTTATCACCCTGCAGACCTGGTATCTTCTCACCCCGCAGCCCCTTTGGTATCTTATCACCCTGCAGCCCCTCCGGTATCTTATCACCCTGCAGACCCTGTATCTTATCACCCTGCAGACCCTCCGGTATCTTATCGCCCTGCAGACCCTTTGGTATCTTATCACCCTTCAGACCCTTTGGTATCTTATCACCCTGCATACCCTTTGGTATCTTATCGCCCTGCATACCCTCCGGTATCTTATCACCCTGCAGACCCGGTATCTTATCACCCTACAGACCCTCCGGTATCTTATCACCCTGCAGACTCTTTGGTATCTTATCACCCTGCAGACCCTTTGGGATCTTATCACCCTGCAGACCCTTTGGTATCTTATCACGCTGCAGACCCTTTGGTATCTTATCACCCTGCAGACCCTTTGGTATCCACACTCGGAGTGAAACTGATCTATCCTCCTATGTTAGCTCTACCACTTTGATTTAATAACTTATGCGTAACATCAACGGTGTCTGACAGATGAGCATGTGAGATCAGCTGGTAGATTGTGGTACACTGGCCAGACTGATCATGTTCTATAACATCTATAGAGGAAGTCTGACGAGAAAAAGCCATGTCAAGTTCTATGTGCTTCCATCTTGTTTGCAGAAAAAGGTACTTTCTGTAAATGACGAATTTAGTGTTTCAAGAACTAGCCTGTACACAGATTTTGACAAATAATACTACCTCAACATTGTTTTCATAGTGAATACTGAAATTTTCACTAGCCCTTACCGTTACATAAAATCCGCCAGTCCTTGGCGTCAAGCTAATGAAATTGTATGCCACTTAGAATTCAAATAATTTACTCTCTGTGGCTGAATTTACCTATCTCCAACTCACACTAATGAAAGTATCTGCTTATGATATTCTAAACATGATCAAAATTATACATAATTGTGATCTCAATTAATATATAACATTTGTGGTCCCACGCATTTTTATTTTTATTTAATTTAAATGAGCATGTTGTCAATTTGAACACAGCAGTTATGTGGATAAGTTTTTACCATGAAAATATCATTTGATTTTCCACACAAACAAATATTTCCTTTCAACACTTTCATTCAATGCATGCCTTACGTCACTCTACCACAATTGGTACATTTTGACAGATTTACAGTGATATTTAAAAATTCAGATCTTGTATCTGGAATATTTCTTGATTCTTAACAAAGACTATCAAGGGTGGTTCATTTTCAGAAAAAGTTTTGATTCTAAGTGATTTATTTTAGAAAAGAGAATGATAAACTCCCAGTGAGATTTCGTCCGTTTTTCGGCCATGATTAGTACTCAAATTGGTACACCATATCACAGGCTATGAAATTTGTTTTTATTTCTAATAGTTGATGTGCCGATTGCAACAAAATATATTGCTTTTATATATTTACACTTTCATATTATCCAGTTATAAGGACCAAAAATCAAAATTTTAAATTAACCCCTTCAAAATCTTCCAAAATTTCATCGACATACATCGTTTTTACTGGTTTTATGATGTTTACTTTGAAGTCATGATGTACTCTTAAAATATTCCTGAAAATTGGAAGTGGAAATACTGAATATCTATTTTGTTATACTGTCAGAGGAAAATACTCAAATTTAATTTAAAAGTACTATCCAAACCATTTTCTGAACATGTACCAATTTGGGTAGCATACCAACCCATTTGGGTAGCATACCAATTGTGGTAGAGAGACGTTAGTATGTAAACTGAACAAGAACTTGAGAGAATTTGATGTTAGGACCAGACTTACCAGCCCATTGACTAGGCCCTTACTGTATCCAAGGTAACAAGACTTGACATGTGACCCAACTCTCGGCAACAGGTACTTCACAAGGGATGTCAACATGGCCGCCTCCTTACGGATCTGAAAACAAATACATTTAAAACATTTTTAATAATCTAAAGTGAATCAAATTTTAGGATTACAGTTTTTTTTCAATTATAGGTTTTGGTAGAATACAGGTAATAACCAAATTGATAACATACATGCATGGTAGACCTGTGATAGCAGATTATCTTGGTTTCAAATTAAAGATATAAGTTACAATCAGATGATTGATATATACATTATTGTCAGCAAGTATTTTCATGATGATAAATATAGATTGTATACAGGTTCATATAGCACAACAATTGAAATGTGTATACAGTGCAACATTTAAATTGCTTGTATAATTTCAACTCATTCACATTCACTAGACAAATGCATTTCAATGGTTGTGCTATATGACCCTGTATAGAGTTAATAGCAGGTATGTATACAATCAAACAGAATTGTATTTCCCAATCCCCCCAGTACTTTAAACGTAGTTTTTATGACAAAATATGGGCATTGGAAAATAATCATCTAATCAGATGATTTGTGTAACTAAAAGTTCCCACTTTTGTTCACACTTGAGAAATATATCTATAGTTTTCTTGTGTTTGGCTAATAGCGACATCTATTTTGACGCCTTATATAAGTACCAGATGAAAACATACATTCTGTCAGCAGCCACAGCTATATAGTAAAACATAAATAATTACTTACCTGTTTATCCTCTGTGCACTCGTCATCTACAGAGTTATCGCTGTCATCTCCTCTCGACTCATCTCGATCAGCATCTTCATCTACCATCTCATCTGACAAGACATCGACCATCAGCTCCTTGATGACATCCACCTTTTCCTCTTCCACATCACTGTCCAGCCTTGGGGCAAATGACCACTGGCCTATAGAGTGGACACAAAGTTACGTGTATTGGTATTATTGCCAGTACTTGTACTACAATTCATAAAGCTCAACATCTGGTTTGAAAAAAAACGTCTAACAAAAGGTCTACCTGTCTGATCAATTACAATGATGATTTTAAAAAGAAACCTGTTAGAAGATTCCTTTTTTTAAATTCTCATGCTTAGTCCATAAATATAAAGTAATAAAGTATACATCATACATTTTAGTGTACAATACATATAGACTAAGGATCATCAAGTCAAATCCTTGAAGATTTTTGAAACATTCTAACAAACAACTATCAACTTTGTGGGAGGAAACAATTGTACAAAAGTATATTATTTTATCAAACAACATGCAAACCAATCATTAAATTATTAAACCTTTCATAAATTAAAGAACTTCACACGACAACAGTTATTATTGGGTCAATAGATGTAAACACAAAAATTGTTCATGTAAAATTTTATTATCTCCCTTTGACTACCATGTCCGTTCAAACTCCCTGCAAATGGCTCCTAATCAAGCCGTTTATAACTGTTTCAAATCTAACTTCTCATCAGGTTTAATAAATAGTTTGGTAAAAACAGCCTAATTTCATGTTCCAGTGATCAATTGATATAATTTTGCATTTTGTCACAGACTTGGAAGAACTTTGGAGATACTTAAGCTTAATCTTTAAAACCATATATTACAGTATTTTCAATGTTTACACTGAACTTTTTGAGTGTGTTACATGAGTTAAAAGAGTTACAACAAAGTTGGTTTGAGCAAAGAATCTATGCTTGAGCATGAAAAACATTTTTTAAGAATATTTACCCTGATCAAATAAGTAAGGTTTGGTTCACAACTTTCCAGTATGGCAATTTCAAGTTTTCAATGAGGGATTAAAACTTTTGGAGGAGTCTTCTGGACAAGATTATATCCACAGACACAGATGGACAGACAGAACTAAATCAGATAAAGGTATACTCGAATCAAAAATATAAACTACAGACAGACCGAAAACCTGATTGAAGTGTACCCCAACTAACTTTGTTGCGGGGAGAATTATGTATTTTACCAATAGACCACTGCACAGGCAGTATGGTTTTCCACAGGGATCCATCAGTAGCTAGCTCGTTCCAGCGCTGGGATACTTGAGCACAGTGACTGAGCTCGCGAGGGTTGAGATGAGAGAAGATTTTCAGCATCAGTTCTTCTGGAAGAGTGTCTATCCCCTTGTACTCCTTCTCTGACTTCTCCAACTCTTCCTTCTCTTGGACTTCATCACCTACGAACCAAACAAGTTGAGCAACATCTCTAAACTATTATGTACAAATAGGTCAACTGTTATTTGATTAGGTATTTAATGTCTTACCATCAGGACTAAGAATGTTCTGTGTCACACTAATTTATATCCCATCAACTCACTAGTTCTACCCCGGAATCATGCTTGGTAATCCCAGGATGAAAGCAATTTTTCCATTATAAAAATGTACACACCGGAATAGAAGAATGTTACCTTGACCTTTGACAGGAAATTTAAAACCAAGCAGGGTTTCTTCCAGGGTATTAGGTGAAAAATAGCCTACATAAAGTTTGGAATTCATTTTAGAATAATGATTTACTGTGACCTTGACCTTTAACCCAAATTTCAATAGATTTTTTCCTCACTTTACTATTTAGCATTCAGTGAAATTCATTAATACAGCTAAAAACTTGCACAAGTAATGTTCCAGAAACCTACATGTACAGACAGACAAACAAAAGGAAGGACAGGTTAAACTTCAACTGCCAAGGGATAATGAAATTATGTGTACCTTAGTAGTTGTTATAGAGTTTACTTCACTGTGCATGAGTACCGATTAACAACAGTCTCCACCGAGACTTTACTGAAATAATTAATCATATGAAGAACCCTGGATGACCCCAACTTTTACTATTTATACTTCCTTATACATACACATCAACTCATCATCTTCCTCCAGCTTTACTTCCTTCTGTCCTGGGTTTATTGAATGATGCATCAGAACTTCATTCTTAATGTCACACAGCTCATCATAACTGAAGTACTCAATCAGCATTGGCTGAAATATCTGTAACATAAATTTCATCGCTGTAGTTCTGACAAGCAATGTCCTAACTAATATCATTGGTTTAGAGCGGTCAGGAGATGACTCAGATTTTCTATATATGAGTCAGTTTTGCATGAGGGAGCAACATTGTCAGGTGGCATCGATACTCTCTGCTATAAAACTAAAAGAAAAGACATTTTTCTAGCGACAGACATCAAAAATTCTGAAAATGATGTTTTGCAACTCGATTGTTGTCGTCTAGTAAGGTGATGATAGTTGCCTCCCCTGTGCTGAGACAGAAAAGGTTAAATAGTCAGTCAGCCAATATTCAAAAGGCAAATAAAACTGCTGCCAAGTAATTACTAGTAACTAAAAATTAAGTATATTTCAATGTTGTAAGTACGAGGGTCACCATCTGACAGCTCTAAATCATTTTCAATTTGCGAAAAAAGGGTCATCGATGCAATGAACTTGTTCTATAGTTAGTTACTGGGTCTCTGTAAAGCCATGGATTGTCATTAAGATATAATGGAGACTCAGGTTGTCCTCCCACCTCCTATATATCTTACTGATACTATATAGTTCTATAGAAGACCAGTTGACTAGTGTTTTCTCCAGATTTGCTAAGAAAGGGGGGCATTGGTCATGTTCAGTAGGTAGCCTTTCGGAAAAGAGAGCATTCCACATACCGGGAGAAAACACAGTGACTATATAACTAAAAATGCCATACTTTGATACAGCACCTTAAAAAAAAGTCATAAAATTGGTACATCAATTGACATTCTCATTCATTTCTTAAACAGAAAAGAAATCTGTCAAAAAGAGAAAGACTTTTATCTATTCATCCAAGGGACAAGATAGACAGATGGTAATAATTTTAAGGAGGTATATTGTGTTTGATGAGGTATTCACTGGCAACACATAAACTTCATTCAGCCTTTTTTTTTTTTGGAAAATGACCTGATTTTGGTAGATATGTTTTGGTTTACTAATTTTGGATAGATATGTAGCATGTGGCATTGTTGTCATCATACATTATGATGGAATATTTGTATCAATTTATCCATGGTTATGTCTTGGCCACAGCTAGTAACTACATGCATACAAGTTATTCTTTGATGATGTCAAAATACTCGGTTTATTTCCAACATGATGGTCTTAAGATTTTTTGAGGTAACAAGATTCAGTTGCGTTTGATTTCGAATGTTAAATTGAAATTTCTATAAAATAAAACAGTTTGAAGCATACCTCCTCTTCCTCCTCCATGTGAGGCAGGAAGCTGCTGGTAAACTCCTCCAGTGCAGTCCTTAGTTTGATCCCATAGTTGATCCTATCAGCATCAGTCTTCTCGGTACATTTGTACCCGTCCTGGAACAGGTTTAACATCTCTGTCAGTCTGTTGTCCGAGTGACAGTTACAGACAGCATGGTTCTTTATGGACAGACACTGGAGTTTCTCTTTGAGTTTCTTCATGATGAACTGGTTCTCCACTTGCTCATGATTGTAGAACTCCTTAAAAGTGTTGCAGAGGTTCTCCAACAACAAAGTCAAGTGTCCAACATTTGTAAAGTTGATATCAGACATCTGAAACATTTAATAAAACTTTTTTTTTTGAAATTTCAATTTACTACAAAACGTTTTATTCTTGATATAAAGTGTGGGTTTATATTTCAAATAATTTTTAGCATTTTATGGGAAAAAGGCCTTATACTACACATAACTACGTCACAGTAATACACATCAACATCGCTATACATAACTACGTCACAGTAATACACATCAACATCACTATAAATAACTACGTCACAGTAATACACATCAACATCGCTTTATATAACTACGTCACAGTAATAGACGTCCACATCGCTATACAAAACTACGTCACAGTAATAGACGTCAACATCGCTATACATAACTACATCACAGTAAGACACATCAACATCGCTATACATAACTACTTCACAGTAATAGACGTCAACATCGCTATACATAACTACATCACAGTAATACACATCAACATCGCTATACATAACTACATCACAGTAATACACATCAACATCGCTATACATAACTACCTGACAGTAATACACATCAACATCGCTATACATAACTACTTCACAGTAATAGACGTCAACATCGCTATACATAACTACGTCACAGTAATTCACATCAACATCGCTTTACATAACTACGTCACAGTAATACACATCAACATCGCTTTATATAACTACGTCACAGTAATAGACGTCCACATCGCTATACATAACTACATCACAGTAATAGACGTCAACATCGCTATACATAACTACATCACAGTAATAGACGTCAACATCGCTATACATAACTACGTCACAGCAATAGACGTCCACAGCGCTATACATAACTACGTCACAGTAATTGACGTCCACATCGCTATACATAACTACGTCACAGTAATAGACGTCAACATCACTATACAAAACTACGTCACAGTAATACACATCAACATCGCTTTACATAACTACGTCACAGTAATAGACATCAACATCGCTATACATAACTTCGTCACAGTAATACACATCAACATCACTATACATAACTACGTCACCGTAATACACATCAACATCGCTATACATAACTACATCACAGTAATACACATCAACATCGCTATACATAACTACATCACAGTAATAGACATCAACATCGCTATACATAACTTCGTCACAGTAATACACATCAACATCACTATACATAACTACGTCACCGTAATACACATCAACATCGCTATACATAACTACATCACAGTAATACACATCAACATCGCTATACATAACTACGCCACAGTAATACACATCAACATCGCTATACATAACTACATCACAGTAAGACACATCAACATCGCTATACATAACTACTTCACAGTAATAGACGTCAACATCGCTATACATAACTACCTCACAGTAATACACATCAACATCACTATACATAACTACGTCACAGTAATACACATCGACATCGCTATACATAACTACGTCACAGTAATACATATCAACATCACTATACATAACTACCTGACAGTAATACACATCAACATCGCTATACATAACTACCTGACAGTAATACACATCAACATCGCTATACATAACTATGTCACAGTAATTGACGTCAACATCGCTATACATAACTACGTCACAGTAATCCACATCAACATCGCTATACATAACTACGTCACAGTAATAGACGTCAACATCACTATACATAACTACGTCACAGTAATTGACGTCCACATCGCTATACATAACTACGTCACAGCAATAGACGTCCACATCGCTATACATAACTACGTCACAGTAATTGACGTCAAAATCGCTATACATAACTATGTCACAGTAATTGACGTCAACATCGTTATACATAACTACGTCCCAGTAATACAAATCAACATAACTATACATAACTAAGTCACAGTAATTGACGTCAACATCGCTACACATAACTACGTCACAGTAATTGACGTCAACAGCGCAATACATAACTACGTCACAGTAATAGACTTCCACATCTCTATACATAACTACATCACAGTAATCGACGTCAACATCGCTATACATAACTATATCACAGTAATTGACGTCAACATCGCTAAACATAACTACGTCACAGTAATAGACGTCCCCAACGCTATACATAACTGCATCACAGTAATACACATCAACATCGCTATACATAACTACGTCCCAGTAATAGACGTCCACATCGCTATACATACCTACGTCACAGTAATTGACGTCAACAGCGCAATACATAACTACGTCACAGTAATAGCCGTCCACATCGCTATACATAACTACGGCACAGCAATAGACGTCCACATCGCTATACATACCTACGTCACAGTAATTGACGTCAACATTGCTATCCATAACTACGTCACAGTAATAGACGGCCACATCGCTATACATAACTACGTCAAAGTAATTGACGTGAACATCGGTATACATAACTACGTCACAGTAATACACATTAACATCGCTATACATAACTACGTCAAAGTAATTGACGTGAACATCGGTATACATAACTACGTCACAGTAATACACATTAACATCGCTATACATAACTACGTCAAAGTAATTGACGTGAACATCGGTATACATAACTACGTCACAGTAATTGACGTCAAAATCGCTATACATAACTACGTCACAGCAATTGACGTCAACATCGCTATACATAACTATGTCACAGTAATAGACGTCCACATCACTATACATAACTACATCACAGAAATAGACGTCAACATCGCTATACATAACTATATCACAGTAATTGACGTCAACATCGCTACACATAACTACGTCACAGTAATTGACGTCGACATCGCTATACATAACTACGTCACAGTAATAGACGTCCACATCACTATACATAACTATGTCAGTAATAGACAGCTTATTGGGAATTTAAAGCATTGAAACATAACTGTTTTAGATAAAGCACAAGCTCTTCCTCAACCTCAAACCCAGGTCTTCGGTACCATATGTTTCGGTAGATAAAATACCAGTGACTTTAACCATTAGCCAATATTTACTGGTCATGTCTTGATAAGTTTGTAAATCATGATTGACTATAGCTGCTACAAGCCATTGTAGATCAACATGATATGATAAAATTTTCAAGAGGGATTAAGTTGGTCAAGAAAAGCTTGCTGCACATCAGCTTTTGTGATTCAGGATTATTCCTTCAATATCACACCAGGTGACTAAAGGATTCTGTAAAAACAGTCATCAGGCCACAATATAATGGGTGAATGCATAGCAAGTCTCCCAATTTGGACAGGTCACTCCTGAAAAAATGATGATGACCCAAAAATGCAAGCCGGTCATTCACCCAAGATTTTCATTTTAGGGTGCTTCTTTTATGCATTGCCCAGTCAACAGCTATGATACAGCTGGCCGGGTATACACATGAAAGTTATTAGTAGTACTAGCACAGCTGTTACATCCCCTTAGCCCTGCATCCTCAATCATCACAAAATCTCTAGTTAGCATTTTATAACAAGAAAGATGTAAGAATATCAAAATACTGCACTAGATTTTATGGGGCTTTTTAGTACAAGTCTCAGAAAGTCTGGAAGCTTGTCTGACAGATATCAGTATCTGGATGAATGCCAACATGCTTAAACTTAATCAGGAAAAGACGGAACTAATCGTCTTTTCCCCAAAGTGTCAGCAAACAATGGCTCTCCAGCTCAAGGTTGGTGCCAGAACTATTGAGACTGTTCCAGCTGTTAAAAACCTAGGGGTATACTTTGACAGTTCTCTGAACATGGAGAAACAAGTGAACGCTATTGCCAAATCCTGTTACTACCAGATCAGGAACATCGGCTGTATTCGGCAGTTTCTAACTGCAGATGCATGCAAGATTTTGGTGCATTCACTTGTTACCTCTCGGTTGGATTATGGTAACGCCCTGCTCTGTGGTATATCTGACAAACTAACTAGTCGTCTGCAGAGGGTTCAGAACACTGCAGCACGGCTAGTTACTCGTACTCGAAAGAGAGAGCACATCACACCTGCGCTTTATTCGTTGCACTGGTTACCTGTACGATACAGGTCGCAGTACAAAATTCTGGTATACACATACAAGGCACTGAATGGAACAGCTCCTCAGTACCTGTTACCCTGTATCAGCCGTCAAGATCACTGCGGTCGGAGTCAGAATCTTTGTTGTGTGTCCCAAAATCTCGTACTGTGACCTACGGAAACAGATGCTTTGCGAGGGTTTCGGCTACACTGTGGAATAGCTTACCATCTGCTATTAGGAAGTTCGAATACCTGGCCAAGTTCAAGATGGACATAAAAACTCACATCTTCACGTCTGCATTTTAGAATCTGTGCAAAGACGTCATGTAAATACCACCCTTTTATTTGTTCAATTATGTGCACATCGCTTGTTAAATGTATGAAAGTGATTGCAAGCCTTTGTTGTTTGTTTTCACAATTATAACCATTACTATTATCCATATGTTGTAAACCGCCTTAGAGTAATTTTACAAATTATATAGGGCGCTATATACATGCTGTATATTATTTTTATTATTATTACAAATCAAGTGGTCAAACTGGACATTTGGAATTGACTATGAACATGGGGATAGCAAGGAAACATTATTGGCAATACAGACAACACATACATTCAATAACTGAAATATTATTTTCAATAAATATCCCTTTAACCCCAATTCAAGGATATGCATTGTTTTAGTTTTTAATCATCTTCATAACAATTGTTAGAACAAGAATTAACTTGCTAGTAATGGGTGACAGGGTCTACACAAAGGTCACTAGAGAGAAAGGTAACTTACCCAGTCATGAATAGATAACTTTGTACATAAGAAAACACTAACAAAACAAGAGAAATTGATAAAAGATAAACAAATTGAAATACAAACATAAAATACTAACATAGGATAAATCTGCTAATGTATTCCAAATAAAGATACAATTGAAAATCGGGGCAAGCTAGACTGGGGCTGGACTTCGGGTAGGTATGCCTTCATTCTCGGGCTTGTACACTTTTCGGGATTAGGGAAAAAATAGTAGTGAAAGGGGTGGTAAAATAGGTCGGTTGTTTTCATAATATTCTGCTTTCGAAACTCAAATGACTGGGTTTTGCAACTGAAAGACCTACTCGTAAATGTCATGACGCCATAAAACCATGGGCATAGTGCAATGACAGATGTGAAATTCAATGCGAAGGTTCCGAACAACATATTTAGTTTTCTCTATCAAAGAAAACATTACATTCGTAACTTTATGATGGAATCCATGACAGAACTATTTCTCGTGTCATCATTCTCACATTATTAACTGCTATCTATAAGTCACGTCATCGTCAACAAATGTACGTGTATTTTGTCAAATCATTATAACTAAACGAGTGTGCGTACCATGTTTAAATATCTTTGCACCAATTCCTTCATTCTAGAATGAGGAATAGTGAAAACGTCGACCTCAGCAGGCCAGGATTTCGGCGCCATGTTGTGTTTTGATAGGAAGTATTGAAATCTCGAAAAGTCTCGTGGAGCTCTCGTGTGACTGTGACGCGTCGTGTTGCTATGGTCGCTCGAGCGGTGTCGCGGCATATCAAAACTTTGCAAGATTAGGTAGTCTTGTACAGCAGTTTCATAACTTGAAGAATCCGGGCGGAACACACAAGATGGCCCGAAATTATCCTGCGAATACGCAGATACAAAAGTTTTTGGAAGAATCATACAACAAGGAGCGTGATACAAGATTATCTTGGTACTTCAGATCGAACAAAACTACTTCATTGGCAGAGTCCAAACAGTCTGAGGTTGCCAGAAGGAAAATCCAATGCGCACCGAAACCAGCGGAGGATCTGTTCAACAAGTTACCAGAAGACAGAAAACCACAAAAATTCAACAAGAAAAAGTCAAATTTCCAAGATGTTCCATTTAGAGAGAAAGATAGTGGTGAAATGTTGAGTGTTGCGATGCATCCAGTTACTACACAAGTAAGGAGTAAGCTGTACGATGGATTCACGAAAGAAGGCAAAGGTCGGTACCAGTATCTGTGTGACAGATACAAGGAAAGCCCAGAGGACAAATTCCAATTCCCTCTACTTAGCTCATGGGAATATGGATGGAGGTTGGGAGATGTTGTGAAGAAAAGTGAAATTAAGAAACCTCCATTTGGACGTACTAGGATAGTGGCAGATACATTTTACACCAGGACTGGTATTCCTAATAGCCCTGCTGTCGATGTGTGAAGGTAACTTATTAACGATGACAATTAATTTATTTCTGAATTAATTATGAAGTCTTCTGCAAAAGTATTATGGAGAAAATAAAAAAAACTAAAGCATTTTGTGATATCACCTATGTCAATTGTTCCTGTGTCGTCGTGTCAGTGATTGTATTTCGTGTATGTAAACTTATGCTTCTATGGATTGTGCGATCGTTCCCGGTACTGTACCATGCTGAAAATTGTTGAGCAGTTTTATTTGAGGAGAAGGAAATACCTGGAGATTCTAGTGCTTAGAGAGATGGGAACGTTACGTATATTACATCGGTTGGATCATAATTGTGATAACATTCTGTTTTATTGTTTGTTGAATATATATATATCGGAGTGAAAATATGTGTCGATTACTTTTTATAGCAATCAATTATTATTGGAATTTTTGATGTTTGTCAAATTTTATATTTAAAAATTCACGCCGTTAAAATCTAATTGTATTTGCTCAAAGTAGCATCGTCTAGTAGATTCTATTTATTGTTCGTGTGTCTTGTTAATTATAATGCAATATGAAAATGTGTACATATCATATATATGTATTGTGTGAACATATTATACCTAAGGTTATACATATCATGAACGATCAGAGAAAATTCATCCATTTCTCTTTTCAACCCCTTATTCAGTGCCGTCCGTCCAAAACTGGCAAATTTTGTCCTATATCCAATGTAGATAATTAGTTGTACATAAAATGTTTACCTGTACATAAGAAGGTTTATTGGCGTATAGTTCTTTATAGTCTTTAGTATCAATTACAATATAGATGTTTTTTTACATGTATATTACCAGCTTGACACAACAAAAAAAACCTCTTGCATAAAAACTGTAAAAAATGATTTCTAGTTTGATTCTTTTTGTCTTCTGTTACATTATGGAACATAATATATGTTCCCTAATGAGAAAAACACAATAGCCACGTCAATTATTCAAAGTTTATCTTTCGCCTATATTGATAGCGTGATCAATAATTGAAACGACACACTGACATACAACTTTGCGACTGCTCCGTAGTTTTTAACTGAAACAGCAATTACTGAACCCTTTTGACCCGTTTGCGTCTGCCGTTTTCAATTTTCCGCTTGATGATAACTAAGACTAGCACCGAATGAGATTTACCGTGCATGTACTTACACGTATTGAAATTACGTGAGAAAAGATATACTTTTGGATTTTAATTTATCTCCGAAAATGATTAAAGAAATCGGTTTCGTTCCTGTACATTTATACTGGCACTTGAGAAAGGGCTTAATCAAATGTGTATGTATATATATTTACCTGTCCTACGTGAACAGAAAGGTATAGATCGATACATGTGTCCGTAAAACAGAATTTATTATATACAGACACTACACTGCAGAACATCGTTTCTAGTATCTTTTCAGACAATATTCACCAGAAGTTATTTTCCCATAGGCGTCGTAAAAACAGGTAGATGAATCAATCATGTTCATAAAAAAATTCTATGGGTTTTCAGTTTATTTCAAAGGAGAAAAAATATAATACATAGTTTTGAATGGGTAAATATATAACGGGTACGTGTAGCGATCGATGTGGTACGTATACGTACCGGGTCGATAGTTCGATATCTAACTCTATACGTATTCATCACGTATGCACACAAATGCTTGAGGTCGATTCAGTATTTCACGAGACTGCTATTTTAAATGTTGACTCGATATCTGCATGATACTTGCGTCAACTTGTTCACGGATATATCAAAGAAATTGTAAACACGACATTATTTCGTAACACGTATACGTTATAAAATACACTTTGTATAGATTTACCTAGATATACCTGGCTTTAAAGCCTTTGTACACATACTGGCAAAACCTCCTGTAGATAACGACTGGCAATTCCCTATATCTAAAGTGCTTCGTGAATTACGTCTTTCCTATAAAGACGAATTGTCTGTCGTGATTTAAGACAATTTTGGCTTTATCCGTTGGATTTTCTTTGAAGACAAGTTTCAATACGGTGCCAATTACACAATTTTTTATCACACTGATACGATCTAATTAGGCCAATATCAATGTAACGAAATATATCATAATTAAACGTAAACGATGTTATTGTATGATATATCTGAACTTAGATCGTGTATCTAATCTAATCCTGAGGTTGAAGCAGCGGCGGAAATGACTATTTTACTTCCGATCAATTATCTGTCTGTATCATATCTGTATTCGTCGTCAAATAATATCATCAGACATTGTACGTGGTGTAGATGTTAGGATGAAGAGAAGGTGTCTGGGTTTGTAACCATTAATTAGTTGACGAATATGATCTGTAGTGGACTTCAAATACGAGACTGTCCTCAAAAAGAAATCTAATAACTGTTATGGACGATAATTACGATACGTTGATTATCGTATACAGCTTCTTAATTAACTTGATTCGGTATGTATCGATCACATGGTTCGGTTAATTATTTACCTGTGTGTATATACCCCTAGTACCTAGTATATACCTGGTGTTACCAGTACAAGTCATCCGTTGTTTGTTTTAAGGTTCACAACGTCGAGAAAAAATAAAAAGTTGAGAGAAAAACACCATTGACACAAATAGTCCTTGCCCAACATTGGATTTTGTGTTTATCCACAAAAAAGTTCAACTCCAAATTTAAACACATTTAAAATATTGTTTTATCAAAGACCACACGCTATATTTATATAGTCTCTGTCGGTTGTGACGAGTTCGATGGGCTTGCACAACATGTAGCTAACATTTCAAATTGATTTCTGTGCTCCTTTAATTTACGTAACCTGTCTAACCCGTGAACCGGTGTAAACTATACATCAACGACTATTAACACACTATACATTTTACTACGTAATACGAACAGAAACACTAGCCCCCTTAAAAAGCTTGTTGGTTGGTTTAAGCAGGTTCCACTTGACGTTAACCCGTGTTGTTTAAACGGATCACTTGTACCCGTTCGCGTGTACGTACCTGGTCGGAGAGCGCCACTCCTTGGATACATATACTGTAGATACTGACTTAATCGATTGTTGTATTATTAAGTGTGTCGTGCCAAGCTGCTATAATTCCCTTACGGTAATGACCCCAAAACAAAGGTGTATTGGTTATCGACAGGCCTCCCCGTAACCCCACTACAACATTCAATATCAATCGCGATTTTATTGTACCGACACATGGAAATTATTACCATAATGAAATCAACGTATAAACAAGGTATACGGCCCGGCAGTGAATCACCTGTATATAACGGTGTGGTCATGGAGCCAATACCACGGAAATTATATTTACCGATATAATGTCATTCAATAATGAAATCAACACACTAGGAGTAAAACAAGGAACGGTGATATTGTTTGGAAGATTAACTGAGATTTCACTATCTCACGTCCCGTCATTAGGGCGCCTCGTATCATCACTCCATATCCCGCCAATGAGACACAACGTATTCGATCACTTCATATCCCGCCAATGAGACACAACGTATTCGATCACTTCATATCCCGCCAATGAGACACCTCGCATACTTCCATATCTCGCCATCAAAACACCTCGTCTACACTCCATATCTCGCCATCGAGACACCTCGTATACACTCCATAGCCCGGCATTTAGACACCTCGTCTACACTTCATATCTCGCCATCGAGACACCTCGTCTACACTCCATATCTCGACATTGAGACACCTCGTATACACTCCATATCTCGAAAATGAGACACCTCGTATACACTCTATACCCTACCCTTCAGACAAGTACATCTATACATTCCATATCCTACCGTAAAGACACCACGTATATCACCTCGGATATAACCCCCATTCATCACTTATCCACCCTATATATCACCATGTAGATACACTATTTCAAATCACACGACATCCAACATCTTAGCGTATGAAAATGCCGATCATCCATCCATGGTAACATGCCCGTTTCACCACCAAAACTAATATGCACTAAGTTAGTAACGTACCATATCCTACAACGTAGATGTTCTCCATATATCAACATGGTCACACATAAACTACCGAAGAAACACCCCATATATCATCAAGGAAACACCCCATATCCCACCAAGGAAACACCCCATATCCCACCAAGGAAACACCCCATATATCACCAAGGAGATTACCATATGTAACCGCTACCATATGGACACGTACATTGTCCCTCGTCAAGACGAAGCATGAAAACAAAAGATAGCATGTAATTATATTTACATTTGCATGGCATTGTCACTATATAGCCTCTTTGAAAGTTGTGTCGTTGATGGGACTTTAATTACCATGCATCACGAGACACAATTCTTAGCGTATTAATACAACACTGACCGGAACTACAATATCCAATATAAATAAACATGACGGCTGCTGAAATATCGCTGGCATTGTGAAATTTGACAATGTCATTGTAAATTTATGTGCAAAATTAAAAATAAAATTAAAAAAACACTTTTATAACAACGAAAACAAGACCAAGGTATGCAATATCGTACAAAATGCACATCGATTGAAATCACCAATGCCGGCAATGGAAACAGTTTTAACGCTCATGCAATTTATCACAAATATCGTCTGTTACACTGCACTGATCAACAGGGGTTCGTTATAAATGTCTAAAATACACATATTCTATAGACCTACTGACACATATGTTACAAACCTACTTATATGAGTAACAGCACACATAAACATTTCAGACATGTGTAGGCCTAACGAACCTGTGCTCCGTCGCAAGATCACTCACTTCAAACGCTATCAGTTTCACGCGTCTCGCATCCACGGTTCCTCAGTTTCTGACGACATGTCAAATAACGAGGCCGTTATAGTATCTACCGACTGTTGTCAGGTTCCCATACATTCACCAAATAAATTCACGCCTGGATTCTTCACAAAATGAGCAAAGAGAAAAGTTCGAATTAACTTCCAAAAATAACTCCCACGTGGAGGGCAAGGTCGGATTTACGGTGTTCACTGTATTTGTCCATGCGCGAAATTCGTTCCGGGGGGAAATCGAAACAATTTCAAATCTTACTTTCAGCTCAGAGTTCTATTGATAAACTTCAATCACCCTTTAGACATTGCATACGCAATTGTATTGATACTGAATTGTGGATTAAAGTTGAAGTGTTTGTTAAAATTTCAAAGTACTACTTTGTTTGCCAATAAGCACGCGACAATACACTGTTCAAACTATTGAACGAAATTGTGTGGCCCGTCGATAAGTCGGGCATTTTTAATTTAAAATATAAATTATAAGTTAAAAAAGAACATAAGAGGCAGAGAAAACATAAATATAAGTATTAAACTGTTTTTGTATGGTATTTATGATATATTTGAATGATAATGCGCTAGCGAGCATTATATGTTGTTTGCATGCAAAGCGGTGCCGTGGAAATAGATCATAAATACCATACAAAAACAGTTCAATGCTTAAATAAATGTCGTGGACAACGAAGGAACATGTGTTGTATATAACAGTTGCTGATTAAAGGCGTTCGGAAACGGGATTTCTGGATTATCAAGGTCCGCATTATTAACGAGGTTACACTGTATTATACAGGGAGGGATTAACGAGGTTCTACTGTATTATACAGGGAGGGATTAACGAGGTTATACTGCATTATACAGGGAGGGATTAACGAGGTTCTACTTTATTATACAGGGAGGGATTAACGAGGTTACACTGTATTATACAGGGAGGGATTAACGATGTTCTACTGTATTATACGGAGAGGGATTAACGAGGTTACACTGTATTATACAAGGAGGGATTAACGATGTTC